GGGGGGGGGCATACTCATGACTTGCATGCCTTAGCTGTTAAACCATGGACTGCGCGTCCTCGAGAGGACGTAGCGCGCGCAGGGGGGGGGAGGGGTACGGTAGATGGAATGGTTAGTTTGGAGCACTCTCTTTACAAGAATGATGAGAAGTGTTTGAAGGAGGCCTACGGCAACAGGAGGTCGGAAAAGAGAGCGAGACAGAGACAGAGAAGGAACATAGAGACAAGGGCCAGAGAGAGAGGACAGCGGGACAGAGGCAGAGAAGAAAGGACGAGACAAGAGACAGAGACAGAGACAGGGAGAGACACACAGACAGAGAAGGAAGGTAGAGATAGAGCTAGAGAGAGAGAGACAGGGACAGAGACAGGGAAGGAATGTTGATACAGGAGACAGAGACAGAGAGAGAGAGAGTGACAGGACACCGGACACAGGCAGACAGAGACAGAGACAGAGAAGAAAAGTTGAGACAAGAGCCAGAGAGAGAGAGAGGGAGACAGGGACAGAGATAAAAGACAGAGACAAGGAAGGTAGGAAGAGGGTGTCGGACGCCACCATGTTGTCCGTTGCGGTGTGATCTGACCCACGCCGTTCGTTATGCGTGCAGGCTACCCGTCACACTTCGGGCAGATGGAGTGCATCAAGCTCATCGCCAGCCCCGGCTTCCCCGACAAGCGCGTGGGATACCTGGGCCTGATGCTTCTGCTGCAGGAGAAGGACGAGGTGCGAGAGAGTCGCCCTTGATCCGTGCGGATTCGATCCGTCGATCGCTCGCGCGCGTTGTTTTTCTTGTTGATGATGACATCCTTGTTGTTGATGTGGTGGGTCCTTGCGTGTGCGTCGGGAGATGCTTCCGAGTTTTGCTCTTGTTGCCCGCTTCGCTCGCGAGGTGCTCGTGATGAACCTGGCCTCTTTTTCAATCGGTGTGGGCTAGAAGAGAGCTTACGGCTTGGAAAGAGCACACGTTTTGTTGCGCTTTTTTTTTTCGCCGTTTTGCTTTTTATTTCCCTCGTGTTGCCGTGGTTGGTAATGTCCGAGTCGAGTTGATACTTCGGTCTGGTGAGAATACCCTTGCTCCGTTATGAGTAAAGGTCCCTGAAGTTGTGAATAACCGTTCACCGACGGAGGTAATTTCGCTCTTATTGCAATGTGGCGAGGAATCGCCAAGCGTGGCTGACGTTAGTCAGCCTTGCTAGGGTGAAAGGTGAGAGTGAGCTGTTGGGCTCGCTTCCACCCTCCGGCTGGTCACAGCAGACGGAGGGTCTTCTCGTTGTAAAGATCTTCAGACCACGAGAACGTCGTTCCTGGGGTCAACGGAACTATACGGTTGCATGTGCGTCCCTACTACTGGGAAGGCACCTATATCCTGGTTTCCACACTGGTGCGCTTTTCTTTCGCCGTTGTGGTTTCCGTTTTCTGTTTTATTCGGCTACAGTGGTTCCTGTTGTCGGATTCGATTTGATACTAGCCAACCTGACGGACGACCGGGGGGGGTGTCCCGTGCTGATAACCGTGGTTTTCGTGTCGCCAGGTGCTGATGCTGGGGACAAACTCCCTCAAGAGCGACCTGTCCCACCCGGTGAGACATGGTCACTTGTATCCGCGCTATTGCGCGTTTTCGGTTTCGGTTCCCACGGAGTCGAGCTTTTACCTTGACTTACACAGCAATGATAGCCGTTGTGTTTGCTTCGTTATTCTAGCGTGCCAAAGTCGCGTAGCTTGTCGGGCTTAACCTTGACTACACAGCACTGATAACGGTCGTGCTTCGCTGTGCATGTGCCATGTGGGCCGTGTGGCACAGGCGCGTGTTATAGTACTGCGTATGATCCCTGTGATTGTGTTTTCTACATTACCTAGCTCTCTGATTTTGGGTTTGTCGGGATGTCGCCAAATGATGGGTATGCTGTCAAATTACCCGATCCTCTATTCCTGTGTGTGCCATTTTGTGCTTATCTCGGCGCTTCCAGATGCCACAGGTGATCGGACTGGCCTTGTGTGCGGTCGGGAACCTGGCTACCCCCGACATGTCCCGAGACTTGGCCATGGAAGTGGACAAGCACCTGAAGCCAGGCTCCAGCTCGAACATGAGGAAGAAGGCCGCTTTGTGCACGGTGGGTGCTTGTATCCACGCTCGCATCTTTCATGCTGTGGATCCACGTTTGGATTTTCTGTGCTTGCGTCAGTCGCTCGCGACAATAGAGTCTGCCTGTGGTGCTGCTTCGAAGGACGTGGGAGTTGTCTTGAAGAAAAAGCTAGTATTTTTTCTTTTATCGTTCGTGTAGTAAGGCGGCCACGTTGGGGAGTGTCACGCTGGATCAGGCGAGCGTTTGGATTGGTTTCATTGTCAAACAATGGCAGCGGTAGAGTTGATCGTTGTGATATTTGCTAGAGCAGCACCCGATGACAGAACAAAAAACACACCCTAAATTTTTAGGTAGTGAACACGGACTGCTGTTTTGTATGTGCACTTGGGAAGTAGTCCCCCCGCGCACGCGCTCCGCCCCCCGCCTGTGACCCACGCATTGATTTGCTTGTGGTGCTGATTTGAAGGACGGTCATGAAGAGCGTGTGCATGATTTTTGTTTTGTCGTTTGTTGCATCGATCTGTGCACTGCTGCTCCCTGGCCACGGAAGATTCGCGTGCTGAAGAAGTGCCCGGAGCTGGTGGAAGACTTCATCGAGCGTGTCGTTGTGCTGCTGGTGGAGCGGAGCCACGGTGTGGTCATGTGTGGAGTCCAGGTGAATAATGGTTCACCCGTGCGGGGGTAGGGAGGGGAGGGGCACGCGGAAGGGGTTCTGCTCCGGTTGTTACATTAGTTTACGTGTTTTGGGGGGTCCCGTGAATCAAGGCAGCAGGTGGACGGAGGGATGTAGGAGGGCGTGGGCAACGGCTGTTTGTTGGATTGTTGGCCCTCCGGTTGCGCGCACACGATTGTTCGAGGGGCACGGCAGGGGGGGGGG